AGCCAGCGTGGATTTGCCTTATGACATTCTGAATGCTTTGAGTTGATCCTGCCTTCAGTGCTGGGGAGTGCTGTGCCTCTGTGGAACAGGTCCTGGTGAAGTGCCATGCCTAGTTCCACTTTCCCTCAAGAAGACACAGTTCCGTCACCCCTCCACCATCAGGAAAGCCTGCTGGCTTGACCTCTAGAATATTCCAGTCTGACCTTAATGCACCGTTCCCACCATTTCTGCTCTTACCCTCCTCCCTCTTACCTGGCTTGCTACAGCAATGTCCAAGCAGGGCTTGCTGTTCTGTGCTAACCTGCCTATAGCTAATTTTCATCCCAGGAGCCAGAGTTACTGTTCTTTAGTTCTGTGGGAGGATTGAGTGTAGAGGCAGCACAGGCATCTCGTGATGGGGGAGGGGCAGCCCAGTGACTTCAAATGCTGCAGTCAAAGTGGGCAGCATTTGGAGCTGGTAAGAAGGGAGTGTGCCATTATCCGGGGCAGGAGCATAGTAGACAGAGGGACTAGCATGTGCAGAGTGGGCAAGGGCTTTGGGAGCCCGGGCAGAGGGAGGGGAGCATGTCTGGGATCTGTCCATCTGAAGATTGAGAGACGTTTATTACTTATTACATCTAGCGAACATTTCTTGAGGGCCTACGATGTATCTGGTGCTGAGGACAAAGAAAGGCGAAGCAAGACAGACGTAGCCCTTGACCTATGCTCCAGAGCTCATGGTCTAGAGAAAGATGTTCATGTATGACATGATCCTATAAGTCAGCACAGAATGGCCTGTCACAACCGCAACCCCCCCAAACCCAACCCCCACACACACACAGAGGAATAACTGTAGCTTTGGACCTCATCTTGGGAGCGTCAGGTATTGTTTCCTTCCAGAAGTGACAGCCAGTCTGAGAGGGACGAGAAGGAGCTGAGCCCATGAATTAAGGAAAAGATGTTTTTGGTGTAAAGAACTCAAGGAACAAAGGTCCTAAATTAAAGGGAACTGCTCAGAGGCCAGTGGGACCCAAAACAGAGCAAACAGGACCAGAGAGAAGAGAAGCTGGAGGATTCGGGTTTCAATCTCAGAACATTGGAAGGCACTGAGGATTTTTAACCTGGGGGTGACATGGTTGTAGAAAATTATTTTCAGGTGTGTGACTTTTGTTTATGCTGCATTTGTTTAACTCTGTGAAGCTGTGGTTCTTGGCCTCTAAAACACCTCATGGTCTAATGGCTAATAGCTAGGCAGGAGAAAGGACAGACGGAGCTGGCAGGTAGAAGTCTGGAAGAGGAGGAAGGTGCAAGAGAACAAGGAGAGGAGGAGGTTAGGGGTCGGTCATCTGGCCAGCCACCCTGCCAGCCACAGAGTAAGAGTGGAAGTAAGATATACAGAAGCAAGAGAAAGGAAAAAGCCCAGAGGCAAAAGATGGATGGGACAATTTAAGAAAAGCTAGAAATAAGCCAAGCTAAAGTTGGGCATCTATAAGAAAGAGTAAGACTCTGTGCATTGATTTATTTGGGAGCTGTAAAGAGTGAGAAACTACTACATGACTACTACATGACACAGATCAGCACGGTAAATGTCGGGAGGAGTCTTCCCGTTACCTAGTACAGGGATGGAGGTAGAAGGCAAAAGGTAAGGAAGGTGCTTAGGATGTCAATATTGGGGCTCAGGTAAGAGATGGTGGTTGACTGAACTGGCAGGAAAGGGAACACATTAAATGCATTTGGGAAGTAATTTGGAGGTAAAAATCTGCAGTCCTTACTAGAAAGGGGCAAGAGTCTGTGATGGCACATGTAGCGGGTACTAATAGAGGGAGACTGAGCCACAGACACACTAATAGAGGGACACTGAGCCACAGACACACTAAGAAAAGGATACTGAGCCACGGGCACACTAATAGTGGTCCACTGAGCCATGGATACACTAATAGAGGGACACTGAGCCACCGACACACTAATAGAGGGACACTGAGCCGCGGATACACTAATAGAGGGACACTGAGCCGCGGACACACTAATAGAGGGACACTGAGCCACGGACACACTAATAGAGGGACACTGAGCCATGGACATCCTCCTGATAGATGCAGCACAAGGATCACTTGGGAAGTTTCCTGGACTAAACAGAAAACTGGCCATTTTGGATCAATTCTTAGGCCTTACAGGAAGCAAACTGAAGAGGTGACTAGAATAAATTACAACAAAGTGAGCGAGTCAGTCATAACTGAATATAGAAAGCTTAAGAAACTGAATGTTATATCTTACGTGTAATACATCCATATCATTAATTAAGATCAACTAAAAGCTGTCTTTAAGAGAAGCGGGAAAATTGGAGCCCCAGCTGAGCCTTAGGCACCCCAAGGAAGTACAATTCATTATGACAGAGATGCACATATTTACTTAAACTCTGTGAATTCTCACAGTGAGTTCTTAGGGGTGAATAATGTTATTTATTTGCCAAAAGGTCCCAGAAAAGAAAAAAAAAGGCATGTTGTAAATTAAACTGATAAAATACTGGTGATTATTGGGGCTGCTCAGTACTTGGAGGTGTTTATTATTATTATCTTACCCTAGGGTCTGTTTGAAACATTTTATAACAAGCAAATTACAAACAAAGCTTTGGGGCTGAAGAGGTAGCTTAAGGGTGAGGAGCTCCTCTTTGCTGGGATGTGTGTGTGCGCGCGCACACACACACACACACACGGACGGACGGACGGACGGACGGACACCTCCTGCTTTCTCAGAGGACCTGAGTACAGGCTTGCATCACCTGTAACTCCAGCTCCATCCGGTCAAGTGCCTCTAGCTTAAGTACACAGCATGCACCCCATTTAAAATAAAGAAAAAAATAAACTTTCAAAAACAAAACTTCATGGAAAGCAGAATTTCACTCTGACACAGGGAATACGAGAAGAGAAGTGCATCTCTGAGGGGGAGGGGTTTCATCGGGGTGTGTTGGGTCCGGGCATTCCGCAGACCGCTGTGCTGGAGATAGGAGAATACAGGCAGTAGCTGAAATGGGTGTGGATAAATTGCTAAGAGAGACAGAAAGGAGGATTTTGAAGAGGGCCCAGGACTAGATCAAAGCACTGTAAAATATATGTGTTTTAATTTTTATTTTATGTGTGTTGTGTGTTTTGCCTGAATGTCTGCAGGCCATCTGTGTGCCTGGTGCCCATGGAAGTCTGAAGTAGGACTCGGAGGTGAGGTTCGCTTCTCTGAACTGGAGTTGTAGTGGTGGGGTCGAGGGCACTGAGCTGTGGCTGAGGAGCAGCTAGGAGACACATCCACCAATGCCGAGGGAAGCTGGGATTTCCCGAGGACAGGGTCACAGTGAAGCACTGCCATGACGCCCAGCAATGCTGAGAACAGAAGACTCCATAGGTCATCTGTTTAGATGGGGCGTGCTGCCTAGGGACAGCCGTGCAGGCTGGGGGACAGTGAGGCTGAAGAAGGCCGCAGAGGGTCCATGGAGCCAAAGAATGACAATGTGGTGGCTCAAGGGATACAGCTGAGACAATAGCAGCTATTTATGTCTGTGTGTGTGTGTGTGTGTGTGTGTGTGTGTGTGTGTGTGTGATCCATGTACGTGAGTGTCGTGGCACACATGTGGAGTCCAGTGGACACCCTTGCTGTTGGCCCTCCTCTTCCGTCTTATCTGGAACAGCTGACCCCACAGCTGACCTTGACTTCCAGGGGTCTCCTGTCTCCACCTCCTGTCTTGCCGTAGCAGCACTGGGCGCACAGAGTCCAACCATGTCCTGCTTTGTGTGGGGCTCTGGAGATCTGAACTCGGGCTAGTGTTTACACCGTGCGCCCTCTGCCTGCAGAGCCATCTCACCAGCCCCTCCGTTTTTAAAGGGGTACTTAGCTGTGCCACCCATACAGGGAGGAGGATGGAGACCCGAGGGTGAGGGTCTTAGAGAGGGCCAGGCTAAGAGTCCCAGAAAGAGGGGAGTGGGTGAAAAAGAAAAACAGCAGAGAATACCATGGAGGTTGGTGCCCACGGTCTGACAGGTGAAGGACAGCAGCGAGCCAGGACAGGGTAAGTGGCGTGGTCCTGGGTCAGGTGGTGTGGAAGGCCTCCATGAAGAGAGGGTCCCCCCCAGCCCCACAACACCCAGGAGGAAAGTGAGTCTGGGGCCACAAACAAGTGGTCTTAATGTGGGGGTCTAAAAGTGGTGCTTTCTATTTCCTCAGCTCCAAATCCCTTCCCACGAATCCTGTGGCCCCTGACTGCCTCCTGGGCCTAAACCCTTCCCATTTTTCTCCAGCCTCAGAATATACTATGGCTTCAAGGTCCATTTTAGAGCCCCAGGGACCCACACGGTAGGAGGAGAAAACTAGCCCCTTCAGGTTTTCCTCTGGCCTCTCCTTCATGGCACACATGTGTCCTGGCTTGCCTTTGCACATGTGCATATACATGTGTGCACACACGCACACATACACACATTTAAATAAATAAATAAATTATATATATGCATGTATGTATGTATGCATGTGTGTATGCATGCATGTATATTTTTTTAAATGAGCGTGTGCTTCCCAACTCTTCCCAACTCCAGCCGATGACAGCAGGTTGCCAGGCTGAGTAGGCATCTCTAAACACCACACATGGATTCTTCCAGCTGGGCGTTTGGAGCAGACTGGAGGAAAGTACAGTGTGTGGAGACCAATTCCAGAACAGCTTCCTTAGACCAAGGCCCACTGTCTTCACCCCTGACAGAAGGCGCTCCCAGAGTACCACGGAGAATGTCTTGCTCAGGGAATGAATTCTGGGTGCCACCTCACCTTACAGTGGCTTTTACCCCCCACTGTGCAAGGCACCCATAAGCTCCTCCCCCACAGCCATCGGATCTTCCGGATCTTCCGAGGCACAGGCTGCACGCTGTGCTTCTGGGCTGCTCTGACCAGCAGCATCTGTTGGTAGCAGCCAGCAGAGGATTGTGTGAAATGAATTCCTCTGGGAGCGCAGAAGCTCAGGACACGCATAAACTCATTTCTTTCTTCAGCTTAACTCAGGTGATCCGAAAGTTCGCCAAGCAGCTGGACGAGTGGCTGAAAGTGGCTCTCCATGACCTCCCAGAAAACCTGAGGAACATCAAATTCGAATGTAAGTGTTGAGTTTGGGAGCAGAACGGAGTGAGGGCAGCATTTCAAAGTCACACCTGTCACGTGAGTCACTGACGATCCGGGGTTAGGCTAAGTACTTCCCACGTGGGAACTCATTTAATCCTTGCTAAATGTTTGCTGCTAGCAAGGAGAAGGGACTCATTTGCGCCTTGGGAAGTAGGAAGCAGAGACAGGATTCCAAAGTCAGCCGTCAACACAATACTCCTAACTCCACTTAATTCTTACGGTAGGCACCACTATGAGATAGGACATCATGTTCCTATCTACAGGTGTAGAGAGGCAGAGAAACTTCCCCAAAGCCACACAGCCACGGATCCACAAATTAAACTTAATACTTGAGGTGTCCTTGAAACTCCTGTCCACAAAAGGCTGTAGCTAGCGTAAGAGCCTCACAGATTCTCCACCTAATTAGAAAGCCAAATTAATATTTCTTATACGGGGCTGGAGCCACGAGTGTTTTCTTGGCACAGTAGTGCCTGTAGTCCCCAGCTTAGCCTGCTCTGAAAAGCCTGGCTCCACTCTGTCTCAATGGTCTGAGCGCAGAGAAGACTCGTGTACAACACAGTTGTTGCCATTGAACAAAGATGAGATGATTTTAAGCAAAACAAGGTTTTAAAATATGTTTCTTAAAGGCCCGTTTGAATACAGCGTGCAGTCCATGCTACAAGTGCCAGTGGGGAGAATGAAGGCGATCAGATTACCCTTTCACGCAGGCAAAGCAGCCCTTTCAGACGCACTCGGAGGCCCCTGCGGTGCCCATCACCTATTGATAAAGCCTGCTTTATTTCACGCTCTCGGTTCTTTTCTTTTCTCCAGCACTAAATTCCACATCACAAAGTTAAAGAAAAAGTGATTAAGGAGCAGGATTAACAATTGATCGGCCTAGAAAATTAGAAGTTCATCTCCCCGCACACACAGCCCCCCATTCCTCCACCCCACACACTGTTTTTCAAACCAAGCCAGCTCTGAGTACAAATTAGAATAATCCTGGGGAAATTTCTGACTATTTCATGACCAGTTCAGAAATTAATGAGAAGAATGCCCCGTGCCCGTTTTAATTACAGCACCGACAAAACAAGCCCGCTCAAAGTCTGCAGCAAGGAGGAGGTGGGCTGGGCCTTCCACCTGTGCCTGCTTGGAGGAAGTGGTTCCTCCCCAGGGAGCCTGGATGTCTGGAGATTGTGCAGGAGCAGGGAAGCAAGCGCCTCCCAGCCTCCCACCACCACCCCTCCTCCGTGCCGAGACTGGAAGAACGAAGACTGTGAACAGGGACATCCTTAAGAAAATAAATCAACAGATAGAAGGTCCCTTCACTTCAAATAATCAGATGCTAAGGGCAGATAGACAAACAGCCTTTCAAAAATCAAAACCCACAGAGGCCATTTGGCCGAAATGACAAATGCCAAGTTCCCTTGTGGGGCAGCCCACGTTCCACGCCAGTAGCATCCCTGGCCACACAGCAGTGAGCCAGTCACCATTCCGATGAGACATGCCGTGTCTTAAAGGGGCTTCTTCAAAGCTTTCCTTTGATTTCTGCGATTAGCTGGAAAGCAATGAGTTTGCAATTAGCAAAGTGAAAGCCAAGTAGATAATTGCTTTGGCTCATGGTTGGTTGATGCCACGGTTTCCCACACCTGTGAGTGCAGCATGTGTGTGACTTTGAAATCCGTATCCTAAATATCATCATCAGAAAATGGCTGTTGGAGCTGAAACACAAGAGTCAGACACAGGGGCATGCCCGCTAGTACCTAGAGGCAGGGTGGTGAAGCCCAATGAGAAAAGGACCACATTTTGAAACCTGCTCCTGGTTGGATCATCAAACATGCAAATGTTTCTAGCTTCTTGTCTTCTTGTTGCAGTGTCGAGAAGGTTTTCCCAAATTCTGCGAAGGCAAACATCGCTGAATCACCTTTGCCAGGTAGCTGTCTGCTCTCATTTGTGTTAACCACTGCCAGGTCATTGCAGAGGTCAGGGGCGACATCCACAGGGATAACTTCCTGTGGCTGGTGTCAAGTCAGTGGCATAGCAGGGTCCTTTCTATACATAAGGCACTAAAAACCTCAGCCCCCGGCCAAAGTAGTAATTTGTGTGCAACATCGGTTGCCCTGAACTTTTTGTATATGATCTGGATTCCCAATTTTGTGTTTCCTTGAACTGAATTGCTGGGTTTGTCAACTACTGTTGAGGTGCAATTGTGTATGCAGCACCTTTGACCTCTCCCCAGGCGATGCCAGTTGTCTGCCTTGCTCAGGATGACATCTGGACACCCTAGTTACATATAGAAACACTGGAGGAAGTAGCAGCTCACCCAGAGCACCGTGTTACCTGGGCAGTTGTCAGCGTTTGGCACCGTGGCTTTCCCCTCATCTCCAGTTCCCTGTCAGAGCTGATCCACCCCCACTGTCCAGTTCCCATCAACTGCCTTCACACATTCCCGTTTGTAGCCCCTCCTGTAGAGGGCCATCTGGCTCTTGGGGGACCCTGGTTATGCAATGACAAGGCAGGCTCCACCTTGGTCTCCTTATATCTGTCCTTGTCATCAAAGGCCCACGACATGGTTTAGGGACAGAGGGAAGTCCTTCTAGACTGGACAGCTGTGGCATTGCTCTGGGGACAATCCGACAGATGATTGGAATGCAGGGAAGACAGTGGTTATGAGGAAAACCAAGACACATAGTCTTTCTGAGAGTTTGTGCCAGCTGCACTCTCTTGCTCCCTTTTACTTGGAAACACAAAATGTTTTCTAGCTCCATCCATTTGCCTGTAGATTTCAAGATGTCATGAGTTTTTCTGCTATGTAGTACTCCATTGTGTAGATGTACCACATTTTCCTTATCCATTCTTCAGTCAAGGAGCATTTAGGTTGTTTCCAGGTTCTGGCTATGACAAACAAAGCTGCTATGAACATAGTTGAACCCATGTCCTTGTGGCACAGTTGAGAATCCTTTAGATATATACCCAAAAGTGGTATTACTGGGTCTTGAGGAAGGTTGTTTCCTAATTTTCTGAGAAATTGCCCATACTATATCCAAAGGGGCTGCACCAGCTGGCATTCCCACCAGCATTGCAGGAGTGTTCTTTTTACCCCACATCCTCTCCAGCATAAGTTGTCACCAGTGTTTTTGATTTTGGCCATTCTTACAGGTGTAAGATGGAATCTCAGAGTTGTTTTGCTTTGCATTTCTCTGATGACTAAGGATGTTGAGCTTTTCCTTAAGTGTCTTTCAGCCATTTTAGACTCCTCTGTTGAGAGTTCTCTGTTTAGGTCTGTACTCCATTTTTTATTGGATTATTTGTTCTTTTGGTGACCAATTTCTTGAGTTCTTTGTATATTTTGGAGCACTGATGATACATTTATGTGAAAAATATTTATTGTGAAATTTCTGACCCATTGGGCCCAGGGTGGCTGGAGCAGTTCCTCCGTGTGGCCCTGTCCCTTTTCTGACACTGGAGACACACAGGTTATTGTTGGGTCAAGACTAGAGGGAATGGGAACAACGGCAGGGTTTGACCTGGTACAGGTCACCGTGGTGGAGAAAAAGAAGTGGGAGGAGAAAGCCTCAGGAAGAAGGAGTGTCTCTGTGAATTTTTCAAGTCATGGTATCACCATTGTTTCTTAAAATTGAGTTTCCCTGGATCTCCGAGTATCTACAAAATGCAACAAGCATACCCACTCAGAAGGCACACGGGGGACAGAGAGGTGGGCTTTTAACTGGGAGCTCTCAACATTGGATTGCATTCCAGGCATCTCGGACGGTGATCCACAGCGCGGACATCACGTTCCAGATGCTGGAGGACTGGAGGAACGTGGACCTGAGCAGCATCACCAAGCAGACTCTCTACACCATGGAGGACTCCCGGGATGAGCACCGCAGACTCATCATTCAGTGTAGGTGTCCCCCGGGGCTGCAGTCCTTCTCTTTCTGTTTTTAATTGATAAATATTCAAGTGGTATTCCTACCCTGCCCCCTTCCCTGGGTCCCATTCTTCTATTGTTCCTGTTAAATGGATCGGCCCAGACAGGAGGGCTAATTTACTTAAGAGGATATGTGTCAACATGGCTGATGCCATTGGGCAGCACACAATGTCATACAAAGGACCCTGCATGTGACCCTGAATGCCACGCATACCTCCAAGGCAGTGACAGAAAGGCTGAGAACTGAAACGTACGGCCTGCCTTGGTGTATGTCGGTATAGAGCCAGCTGGACAAGTGACCATGTGACAGTGAGGGTCACGTGACCGTGAGCCAGGCCTCCCCACTCCCTCCCCCCCCCCCCCCCGCCACATGTACGCACGCACACACACCATGCACATTGAAGTTCGAGAAGACGTGAATGGGTGGCGAGTTGCTCCCATGCACATGCGTTCATGGCCGTAGGGATGACGACTTCCTGCAGTGCAGGCAGCCCCCGTGTGGATGAGAGTTTGCTCCCCAGAGTGAAACAACACAGGGACACCACCTTAGATACTCCTGTTCTTCCTCTGAGCCTTGGCCCAGCTGACTGCTTGGCGTGTGCCTCACTTTGCCAGCCTTCCTTTCCTCAGAAGGGCAGCAGGGCGCACACTCAGGTGGAGTAGTCAGTGCCCCTCAGAGGTTCCAGGGAGGGTGGCGCTGAAGGCAGAAGGGCCGAGACCCATCCCTTCTGTGTGGGGTAAATTACATCGTCGCTCCAGTGCCCACCAGGAGGAGGGGTCTATTCAGAAAAGCACAGGCCTCTTGAGTGGCAGGGTCTGCTCCTCCACACTGTTGTCCTGGAGGATCTCTGTCTTCTGCCGGCTCGTCTAAGCCTGGGCTGTTTTTGACCCAACATCCTCTGAGAGTCCCTATTAGAGGACACTTCCTTTCAAGGCCTCTCAAAGGCCAGCGGAGCCCTAAATATCTGAACCTGGCCTCCACTGGACCCCAGCCTTAACCAAGGTTCTTTGTCCTTCTCCCACACGGTTGCCCACTTGTCTGCTACTGCGTCTTAGGGGAAGCCGCTGAGATGATAATGCAGTTTATCAGACGCCAGCTCTCCGCCAAGCCCTCTATCAGACCCACTGTGTGTGATGTGCCACATGGGGGACAGTCTCCTGTCACTCCCGTTTTACATCTGAGAGAACTCAGCTCCGGAGAGTTGACGGGGCTTCCCCAGGGTCGTGTGATCACTGCGTGGCGGTGCTAGGCCTGGAGCCTGCACCTTGTGCCATCTCCAGCCCAGGGCAGCTCTGCTGGGAAAGAGCAGAGGGGACTAAAATTATAAAGTGGGGCTGAGCTTGGGAGGATACAGGGTCTTCCTGAGCACTTTCTGTTGGGATTCTTTCTGTTTGTTTTCATCGCTTGTGTGTGTGTGTGTGCGCGCGCGCGCGCGCGTGTGTGTATGTGCGCGTGTGTGTGTCTGTGTGTGTACATGTGTCTGTGTGTGTAGCTGCACCTATGCCACAGCATGTGTATGCAGATCAGAGGACAACCTCAGCCTTCAACTTTCAACTTGTCTGAGACAGGGTCTCCTGTTCGTCACTGCCTACGCCAGGTATCCTGCTTAGGGTCACCATTGCTGTGATGAAACACCGTGACCAAAGCAGCCTGGGGAGGAAAGGGTGTCTTTGGCTTCCATTTCCACACTGTAGCCAATCACTCTGTAGCCTGGACAGGAACTCAAGTGGGCAGGAGCCTAGAGGCAGAGCTGATACAAAGGCCACGAGGAATGCTGCCTTCTGGCTTGTTCCCCGTGACTCGCTCGGTCTGCTTTCTTATAGCACCCAGGACCCCCATCAGTGGCACCACCCACGATAGCCTGGGTGCTGCCCTGTTAATCACTAAGAAGATACCCTACAACCCAGATCTTCTGGAGGCATTTCCTCAGTCGAGGCTCCCTCCTCTCGGCTGACATAAAACCAGCCAGCACACCAAGGCAGCTGGCTTTAAGTCTCCTGTCTCTGCGCTGAAATTGTAGCTGTGAGCTGTGCCGCACACAGCTGTTCATTAAATGTGAGTTCTGGGATCCAAACCCACACCCTCAAACTCTACCCACTGAGCCATCTCCCCAGCTTTCAGGCACGATTCTGGCTCTGTTCCCCCCCTTATCAGCTCGATCAAAAGAAATTGTGTTCCTAAAAACCCTAACAGCCCGTGGGAAACCGCTGGTCACTATGTCTCAGGCCTCCCAATGCGCCAGGCATGGAACTGGCATTTGGTAACGCTGCTTCTCAGTTTTTACCACTCACAGTTTTATACTGACCTCCCTCACCCTTAGAACCTCTTGTGGGAAGGAAAATGTGAACCAGGCTTAGAGAAAAATAAAGGCAGCAGGGCTGAGTGAAGGGGCCAGGCTGAACCTTTGCTGCAGCGTTGTGGACGACAGTGCCGCCTCTGTCTCTGAGAGAGACTCTTCGGGTTCTCTCTCCAAGTTCCTTTAGATGCAGGATAGGATGGTGTCATCTGAAGCTGCAGTTATGCTGTGGTTCAGTTGAGTCCAGCTGGTCCTCACTGAGTGTCTGTCCTGGATCAGGCTCTTGTGAACAGCTGGGCGGTGGCTGGGATAGACACTGCCCTTCTGACACGGAGCCCAGGGTCCGTGGCGAGTCCCACGCTCACCTACAACTGTGCTGCACCTTGGTAAAGAGTACGGCACTGTGTGATGCAATGCCAGAAAGGAGCGTTTGAGCCAGGGGCCACGCCTAAGGCCCAGGACATAGGTGTCATACCTGTGCCTCCCAGTAGACAGGAGCAGAGTCCGTGGTCCCAGAAGTCAGTCTGAGCAGGGTGGGGGCACCTGCGTGCTGCACTTCACTCGCATTCCAACCAGCTGACATCTGCAGATTCTTGTTGTCACGGTCACCATTGCACCTGTGCCGTGGAGCCTGAGCAGGGATGCCTGGCTCACTTTAGCTCCCACACCACTAGAATAGAATGGGTGTTAAGGGCTGCCTTAGGAAAGGGAGGGGCTGCTTGCCCAAAAGAGCTTGCTGGAACCTTGGTTCCAGTGCATGGAGATCATGGTTTCTTGTTCCATATGACGAGAATAATGCAGAGGGGTTAAACAGGATGACATACTGTAGGCTTAGTGCACAGGGGAGTGCTCCCGAGGGCACTGGTCACAGGGGAGTGCTCCCGAGGGCACTGGTCACAGGGGAGTGCTCCCGAGGGCACTGATCACAGGGGAGTGCTCCCGAGGGCACTGATCACGGGGGAGTGCTCCTGATGGCACTGGTCATGGGGGAGTGCTCCCAAGGGCACTGGTCACGGGGGAGTGCTCCCGAGGGCACTGGTCACAGGGGAGTGCTCCCAATGGCGCTGGTCCTGGTGGGTGCTCCCGATGGTGCTGGTCATGAGGCAGCCGCACCGGCAGAGCTCTTTGGAATCGTAGCTGGTGCTTACCAGCTGTGAAACATTTGGCTTTCCCTCATCTTGAAGTGCCTCGGTTTCTCTACTTGCAGGTAGGAAGAAAGAGAGCACTTCCTCCCTGGGTTGTCCATCTAGTCACTGAGTAACCAGCTGCACCTCTACTCTGTACCAGGCAGTCCTGAGCTCTGGGGTCATGACATTAACACTTGAGGGTCTGCCTTAAGGTTAACTGACTGCTTTGCCCATAGAAGTCACTAAAGAGAGTGCCTGGCACTTAGCCAGTTCTCAAGAAGGTCAGCTGTTGCCATCTTTACTGTGCAACCGTTTTTGTCACCACTGGCAAACAAAGCGTGGTTGTCTGACACAGAGAAAGACACATCTGTGGCTCTTAGGCTGTGCCGTGCCGTGTCCCTGCCGTGTCCCTGCCGTGTCCCTGCCGTGTCCCTGCCGTGTCCCTCCAAGGTAGTCATGACGGCAGCAGTGTGAGGTGATCCAGGGTCAAGAGGCATACTGTGAGGAATGCTTGTGTTCAGCTGTGTTCTCCTTTTCATTCACCTTGGGACCCTGGCCCATGGAATGGCACCACCCACAATGAGGCAGCTAACCCAAGGGAGGCAAGCCCTCACAGCAGGCCCAGAGCCCAGTGTCTAGGCTAGTCTGTTCTGTCATGGTGACAATATTAGCCACAGCACACCTCATCTGTAATCTGAGAAAGACCAATGTCTTTTAAAGCCCATCTTTATGCTAAGCATGGGGACTGTTTGACTTGCAGAGAGTTATCAAGCAAGCAAAATAGAGCGAACTGGCTGGCCTTCTCACGTGGGAAAAATTGCTTAGATGCGTGGAAACAAAAAATGTACAGCGCTTGAACTGTGGTTTTATTTATTTAGCTCCATGTCTGAAAACCACACGGAAAATCCTCACTAGAGAGATGGTTGCAATGCAAGTGTCCTCAGCCACTCGCCTGTTTCCTACAGAGCTTCACGGATTCCCACGCACTCCACGCTTGCCTTTCCTAGCCTGAAGCTGAAGACAGGGCAGCGAGGGGAATGGTGGTGTCATTTGATTAGCATGCACTAAGTACACATGCATAGCACTGAGAGCCTGGCCAAGCTCCTTACACAGAATAGCTGTGGTCCAGAAACAGTGGGGTCATTGCTCGTGTCCCGTCCTGGATAGACAGCAAGAGATGGCAATGCCTGGCCTAATGGTTAAGCAAGTCTTTCCAGGATAACAGCTGTAGCACAGATAATGCATTCCACAGGGACATTAGAGAAGATCCAGCAAGGAGACTTGACACCTGACTAGCTGTTGGCCAGTGCTAACGATGATATAATAAAGACAGTAATGGACTGTGAGGGTGTCTGCTGGAGAGGGACAGGAGGAGGGCTGGAAGGGTTTCATCTCAGCTGGGTCATGAAGAACCGTGCAGTCCAGCCTCTGTGGAACTGCAGCTTGAGCAAAGTGTGTGGGTTCTGCTCTGTTCACAGTGTACCAGGAGTTTGACCACCTGCTGGAGGAGCAGTCGCCTATTGAGTCCTACATAGAATGGCTGGACACCATGGTGGACCGATGCGTTGTGAAGGTTGGTAGGGCAGAAGGGAAGGAGCCGCCTGTGGCTCCTGCAGATGGTGGTTGTCTCAGAACCCCAGATGAGCTAGCTGGTGTTCCTCATCATCCATAGCACTCTGGGGTTGCAGGGAGGAGACCTGGTCTCAACCTGGGAGGTGGAGGGAACAGAGACAGGACTCGCCAGTCCCTGCACCCAGGTTTGCATCCCTTACTTGTCCCTTGCACAACGTTTTGGTACCAGCTTTTATTAAGTGTGTTTATGCTGCCAAAATCAAAAAGTCAAAAGAAAAAAAATCACTGCTTCCCAGGCTTGAACTTGAAGGCTTGCAGGCCTCCCCTCGTTTTTCAGAGCCAATAGTGAATGCTGAACTGAAGTATTAAAACCGTTCACTTGCTTGTAGGTGGCTGCCAAGAGACAAGGGTCCCTGAAGAAAGTAGCGCAGCAGTTCCTGCTGATGTGGTCTTGCTTTGGTACCAGGGTGATCCGGGACATGACCCTGCACAGTGCTCCCAGCTTCGGTAAGGTATCCAGTGTCACACATACACACAATGTCCAGCCACTTTTCTGTGCACTGAGTTCACCTCTTTGGAGTCAGTCACAGTCCCACCTGCTGTCTCTGAGGTCAAGAGGATGTAGGCGTGAAGGCATCTGTTGGGGGTGGGACATAACTCTGCTAGGTTCTTCAGAAAGCAAGAGGGCACTGAACACTCAAGGGGAAATACGAAGCAGACGTGTGAAAATGAGAGCTTTGCTGACAAAGAGACCTGCCAGCATTTAAGGAAGTACAAGAGGCAGCGGCCAAGCACCCTTCATCACCTGTCCTCAGTGTCTACCTGTGGCCTGGTTAATAAAAACCCAGAGACAGAAATTGGGGTTCAACCTGAAGGTCAGAAAAGCAAAACAGTCAGCCACTGGCTCTTACGTCTACCTCAGTCTGAAATGGCGACACTGTGTCCAGGAACTTCAGGGACTGAGCTGAGAGCTGTCTCCTCCCGTTTTCTATTCCTCTGGAGTGCTCAGGGCATGCACCACCACTGCGAGGTTTCTATGGCAAACTAGTGTGACTGTGTCCCCACTGCCTGTGGCTGTTTTACCCTCTGATCTTCAGGAAAGCTTTATTAAATGAAAGAGATATCACTACACCTGCCTGCCACTCCTGTGGGGCGAGGTGCAGAGCTCCACAGGTGTGGGCACTCTAACACTGGACACAGACTGGCCTCTGAATTTAAGCCTTTGCAAATGGCCTGGCTGACACCCAGGGCTACTTTCTGCTGCTTTTTATTTCCATTTTTCCATTTGTCAGGTGGTTGACTTTTGATGTTTTGATTAATATGTCTTGAGAAATGCACTTTGGCCTACTCTCTAGAAGAAGGCTTTTGCACTCCGTTTGTTTTCTGGATCACCCCCAACTCCTCACTTACTGCTCCCCACTGGAGATCTATCTGTCTCCGGGATCCGTCTCTGCAGACAGAAACCTGGTCCCCAACTCGGTGACAATATTGTGCTTCCTGCAGGACACAGTCGCCTGCTTTCAGCAGAGAGGATATGTGTCTGGGTCCAGTCGGTCCATAGCAAAGACGGTGGGCCTGGAAAGATGGCATCTGGATTTCAAACTTCCAAGCACTGGCCTCTGTCGTCCGGTGCGCTGGGGTGTTTGGTAACGTTTCTGAGTAATCTTCCATGCTGTCTTACTCTGCAAAGATAGGTGTGATCTTGTGTCTCATAATTTCAGATTAAGCCAATCAACTCTCAGCTTTGTCTGGGTTTTAATTTGACACTTTTCCATTTAACTTTCCACGGACTCGTCAGCATTTCCCAGGTGTGTCATATGGTGAAGTGCAGTGTGGTAGAGCGCAGGAGGGTCGGGTAGGACCTGCTGTCTCTCTGTTCTTTGCTGGCGATTTCTTTCACTGCGGCCCTGGGGTTCTCGGAGCCTGCCCACGCTTCAGCTGCAGAGGGAGCATGGACACGCTCTGATGACGGCTGCCGGGGCAGTGCCATCAGATGTGGCATTTTGATGACTTCCAGTCCATGGTGGTGAGCGCTGGCACGTCCCCTGCAGCTCTGGAAAGGCCACTGTGGGTAGCTGCTCTTGCTTAAGCAATGGCTGAATGGTATCTTGAGATTTCTTTTTTCATTGCTTCAGAATCAAAGATTCAACCTTTTCCACACAAACACATGCATGCGTACGGAGAAGTGGGGAACCTCTGCTCCTGGTCTTAGTGCTTATTCTTCCGTTTGCTGACCCATGGAGTAAGCATCCCCCTGACACCTCTCATCATGCAGGGTAGCAGTGTCCTTGGTATTGCTGTTTGTAGTTCAGTTGTGTAAAAATGGAAGCCTGGACAGAGCAAGTGTGGTTATTGGTGCCTCACATTTTTTCCTGGGGTGTGTGAGTGGTTAAAATTGGTGAGCTTATTTCTTTTCCAATCATACTATTTTAGGACGTGCTGGAAAGTGGGGTAAATGACAAATACATACATATATATATAATATATTTGCTCTGTGTGTGTAAGTGTATAAATATACACACACATATATATTTACACATGCACACACATACCGTAAAAAGAGAGACGTTAACCCAGTTTCACTCTGACAGCATTCTTCTCAGCCCTGAGTAGGTTGAAACAATGCTGCCTCTAAGTCCATTCAGCAAACTCTGGAACGGTTCGGCTCATCTGACTCATTGTTGAGTTTTGCAGTTTGGGGCGACAGGCAAGTTGAAAGAATGCCCGGCAGATAAAAGCCCCGCTCCCCCTTTCTGCCTCTATATGTCAAAGACCCAGTTGGTGGCTGTGTTTGGGTCATGTGTTCGCTGTATGAAAACAGCTAATTAGGAAAAAGAGCCCTCTGTTCCCCGGCCCCTCCCTCAGCTGCAGGGACCAGCTCTGTGTATCTTATGGCCCTCAGAGTGGTGTGGGGTTCATACAAGTGCCCAGCTCGGCAGAATGGCCATTACCATGATCTTGTGGATCTAAGGACCCTCCCTGGCAGACTCTCTCTCCTCCTCTCAGAGCAACCCTCTGAAAGGTAGTTAACGCCTTCCTTCTCCTCTGTTGCTTTGCAGTTTTGTATCCATGAGTCCTTTTAGCAGAGTCTATGCTTTGATCTAAAACAGCCAGACTTCCTGCTCTAAACAGTGTCTCTAGAAGTTTGCAGAGGTAACAGGTGACAAGCTTTGGTCCCGGCGATGTTGAGCAAATTAAAGCTTCTGTCCAAAACAAAACGACAACAAAACCCACTCCATTTCAGTTGGCTGATCTGATTCCAGCTCAGGGTCTCCCGCGTCTCTGGACAGCACAGCGGCCTTCACCCTATCCCACCAAATGCCCATTTATTTCACTGCTGTGGGTGTCCAGGAGGCAATAGCAGTTCCCAAGAGAAACTGTCTGCAAAGCCCAGCGTTACAGCCCAGCGGATGGATGGATGGGACAGAGCTACACATCCTTCCACACATCACTTTTCCTCACGATGGTTTTGTGGTCCAGCACCAAAGGGCCCCCTCCTGGGTTGGGGCTGGAAGGCCTCGTGGGCCTCTTGTCATGGAGCGGCTCGCAGACCTGGTGGCTGTGATGGAATCTTCTAAACTGCCTCTCTACGTAAACTCAGGCGTCCTGGCTGCCATTACCCAGAACCTGCTAAACACGAGGACCCTGATGTCGCTAGCATCGCTTAGGCCCGCTCCAGGGAGGGGGCCTGAAAGCATAATGTTCCTTCTCCACCCTCTCCCCACCCCCGTCCCGGGCCCAGAGAGAAGGAGGACTTGCATAAGAGATGGAGTTCTTACAGGGGCAAGGCTTCCTTCTCAGCTCAAGTGTGTGCTCTTTCCTAAGCTGTCCCTGTCACACCTGCCATTCTCAGTTCAATACCAGTGGGAACTACGGGCCAGTGTTTATGGAGAGCCTAGTAGATTGCCTATTGCTGCCTTGAGTGTGGAACTTAATAAGGATTTCCTAGAATTAGACATGTACTAAGGCAAGAGAAGCCAATAATAATTATTTTAACAAATATTTAGCAAAAATATAAGATCACTTATTTCCCACTTTAACTCTGCAGGGCAATGAACCCATGGGGTAGGAAGGGAGCATATGGAATTTCCTTGCCCAAGATCAAGGAGGTGGATTGGGAGAGCTCTGGCTCAGACCCACCCACCTGACCACACTCGCTCTATCCCCACTGTCAGCAGGCTCAGGTGAATGGTGACAACTTTATTTTATCCACACTGATGATTTTAAATTGATGGATTAATATTTTTTAAGATTTAAATGATGAGAGAAAAGAAGAATTGTTAGACTGTTGGAAATGCTAAAAGATGCCAGCCAGCAATGGAATAATGTCTTTTAAATGCTGAGAACAAAAATTATCAACTTACTCAAGAGTGAGGGCAACAGGAAGTCAATTCAGTTATGTAAAGGCCAGGAGAATTTGTTATCCACACACGCATCCAAAAGCAAGTGCTGCTGCAGGATGCACTTCAGCAAGATGAGAAAGAAAGCCGCACTCGCACTGGCTCACGAGAAACTGCCATTATCTGATCATCACTGCTGGTCACAAACCGCCCCAAAGCCACGAGGCCTGAAACAGATTCTTGTGATGAGTACCTATGGTGACCATCCACGGCGAAGGTCGCAGACACAGCGTAACTTCCTTTACACTCAGTTGAAGAGTTCCAGGCCTCCTCTCCCTTAATCTTTAATGCAAAGGATGTTCATGAATTTGGAGTGGGTGCTTTCACATGAGAAAAGAATTTATGTAAACAAATCTAATTAGCTAATCCTTCCTACATGCCTTTGTTATTGATGAAAGGGGAGGCAGTCAGAGACGACCCTTGGGAGCGGCTCTCTCCTTCCACCCTACGGGTTCCAGGAACTGAACTCAGGTTTTCAGGGTTGGCAGCAAGGGCCTTACCCACTGAGACATAGTGATGGCCCCCAAACTAATCTTTATGTGTGTTCTTTACAAAGGTAAAGCCAAGTTTAATGAGAAAATATATCACATGAAGTAATGAGAATTGAATGCTGAAGGACAGTTAAAGCATGTAGAGATCTTGGTCTCTACCACAACTACTAAATAGCTTCATATTTTGTTGGAAATGTGTGTCTATCCATCCATGTTTTCACAGTAAACATGTAGAGTGTATGTATAGGATAAATGAAGAGATTATCACCATGACAACATAACCATAATTCTCGGGGGCAATAGCATACTGTGAGCAGTTAAGAGATGGCAAGAATTGAGGAGGTGAAGAAGGCGCAGAACGTAGAAACAAGAACCACAGAAGTGAGGAAGCCTCTCTTCCTGGGAAAACAACAGGCAAAAATGTTTTTAAGAGGCAAGATTTTCTAAACTATATGAGATAAAGCATCCTTATGAAAATCCCTGTAAAAGAATAAAAATAAAAACCGGAAAGCAATAACATCCATTTTATGAGCGAATCTCTATTTCAAACCTGGTGAGAAGAGCAGGAAAAAAGACCACTGTGAATCAGAGGCTCGCTCTCTCTCTCTCTCTCTCT